ATGTTGTAGGCAAAAAAAAAATAGCAGCCTTTATTATTATTATACAGTATTTATATGGCACCAAGGGTATGCTCAGCGCTGTACATTTTAGTGGGGGACAGAACATGAGACAAGACAGTAACAATACAATACACGAGGGTTAGAGGGCCCTGCTCTTTCGAGCTTACAATCTAGGAGGGAGGGGAAGGTGGTACAGGAGGAAATGGCTGTGGGGGATGGAGTGGTGGGAGGAGTGGAGGAGGTTAGTTGTTAGGTGAGGTCGGGTGTTAGGTGAGGTTGGGGTAGGCTTCCCTGAAGAGGAGGGTTTTTAGGGTGCGCCTGAAGGTGAGGAGGGTAGGTGACAGTCTGATGGATTGGGGTAGGGAGTTCCAGAGGATGGGGGAAGTCCTGGAGAAGTCCTGCAATCGGGTGTGGGAGGAGGAGACCAGGGAGCTAGAGAGTAGGAGGTCCTGTGAGGAGCGGAGGGCACGGGTAGGGTGGTATTTGGGTATCAGGTCAGTTATGTAGTTTGGGGTGGCATTGTGAATGGCTTTGTAGGTCAGAGTTAGCAGTTTGAATTTGATGCGTTGGGCAATCGGGAGCCAATGAAGGGATTGCAGAGGGGGGAGGCAGATGTGGGGCGGTTGGTGAGGTGGATGAGTCTGGCCGCTGAGTTTTAGGATCGACTGAGTGGGGATAGCGTTCGTTTGGGTAGGTTGGGTGGGGGGGGTGGAGTGGGGGGGGGAGGGGGGGGAGGGGGGGTAGGGCGGTGAGAAGGGAATTGCAGTAGTCCAGGCGTGAGATGATGAGGGAGTGTACGAGTTGTTTGGTGGTGTCTGGGGTGAGGAATGTACGTATCTTGGAGATGTTGCGGAGGTGGAGCCTGCAAGATCTTTAGAGTTCAACTTTCTAAGAAATTAGCCTATGAAGTCAATGGGCCCCAGTGGGTATGAAAAAAAATTAGGGGCACCGAAATTTCAGCCACCGAAACACAAAGGCCGAATATAGCCCTATCTGCATTTTGCTGATAGGAAAAATGTAGCCGATCCAGGTGCCGATACAGGAGGCTGTGTGTACTGCCGATGTGAGGGGGGGGGGGCAGCGGAGAAAGGCAGGAGAGGAGCAGGGTATACAGTGACTGGCTGTCACCATATGTCGGTGCCCGGTTTTTTTATTGTAATTACCTGCTTTTTTTTTTCTTCACTATAGCTCAAAGAATCAGCTGTCACTTTCCCCCAGATAATAGAAACAATGTTTCCTTTTAGTTTTTTTGCGGAGATAAAATCATTGGGTGTCATTGGGAGAAACTGTGCTCCATCGTTGATGGCATTTGGAGGAACAGTGCCTCATCATTGGTGTCATTGGGAGAAATTGTGCCCCTTCATTTGTGTCAGTGGGGGGGGGGGGGGGAATTATGCCAAATTTGTTGGGGTAAGTGGATGAAATAGTGCCCCAACCCATGGAATAAAAATATATTTGAAATATGTTTTCAAAATATTCTTTCCAAATATATTGACATATATTTGAAATGCTACAATTGGCCGTATTCAATATATTTCAATACATATATATATACTGCATGTTGAAATGCATTTTTATTACAAAATATATGAAAAAATATTTTTAAAAATACATTTCAAATATACCGTGTGACTTTAAAAATACAAATCTACATTTTTGGAACGCATTTACAAATGTATGTAAAAAATATATGTTAAAATTACTTTTTTATATGCTAAAAGAAATCTGAAGAATATATTCAAAAAAAAATTATATTTGTAAAAATATTATTCATATATTTTGTAATATATAAAAAAAAGCATTTCAACATGCAGTGTATATATATATATTCTGGTTGGAAAGGGGTAAATTGACTTGCCGTTTGCCCAGGAAGACCTTGGGAAGTCTTTATAGGGCAGGGGTGTCAAACTGGCGGCCCTCCAGCTGTTGCAAAGTAACATCATGCCTCTGCCTCTGGGAGTCATGCTTGTAACTGTCAATCTTGCAATGCCTCATGGGACTTGTAGTCTGGCAACAGCTGTAGGGCCGCCAATGTGACACCCGTGCAGTAGATTGGTAGCTGTGTGATAGTGCTTGACAAATGTGAGTAGAGACCAATGAAAATCTAAAGGAATAAAGTTTGTTTTCCTCACCAGAGTTTAGTTTGCAGCCAAGGCAAGGGGGCATACCTACAGGAGTCGCAGGGGTCGCAGTTGTGACCCAGCCCCATGCTCCAGGGGGCCCGTGCGGCCCCCCCCCCGTATACCTGGATAGGAGGAGCGATGCGATGAAATACAAATACATGGGAGTTGTTTGACCCACCAAACAATTTGTACGTCTGCTTTCTTGTTAGAGCTGTTGACTGATGAGCAACTCATGGCCAAAGTAAAAAAGTATGAAGCTGGCGATGGTCCTCAAGCTAGACATTACATACAATCAACCACGACCCCCGCATCGCCTTCTACAAATGGAACAACCAGCGAGCCGGTGGACAGGCCCATTTGGACAAGAATCATTGGCCCATTGATTGTCACTGCATTTCTGATCTTGGTTCTGGGTGTAGTGCTTTACAGGTAGGTCAAAGATAAACCGGATCCACAGCAGAAATATGTATGCGTGTGGAAATATTTTCTTTATGTATATAGAAGAAATTGTTTGATTTTTTTTTTTTACAGCTAATCAAAGGCATAGTCCATCTTTTGCAAAAATTTAGTAAATCCACCAATACGGATAGAATAAAAAAATGTGCATTTACTAAATTTTGCATTGAAGCCTGCAACCGCATTCAGGGCAATTGGGTGCAATAGCCAGGCCCTTGCCGTGATAAAGTGATTTTTTTCTCAGAGAATAGGTGCAGATACTTCCCACATCTGAGTCACCCCTTGTACCCACCTCTATGCACCATCCTTTGTCTCGCCCCCTACCCACCTCTGAGCACCGTCCCTTGTCTCCGCCCCCTACCCACCTCTGAGCACCGTCCCTTGTCTCCGCCCCTACCCACCTCCCAGTACCGCCACTTTTACAGAACCACGTATCATTTTGTGGTGCTAAATACATTTTTATGGAATTTGTTAATGATAACAAGAAAAGCAATAAAATAGATTCCCTTAACAAGAGACCCCATTAACAATAGATCCTCCTAGCAACAAAAGTTCCCCCCAGCAACAATAGAACCACCCCAGAAACAGTAGACCCCCACCAGCAACAATAGACCCCTCCCTCAACAGTAGCTCCCGACTCCTCAGCAACAACTGACTACTCCCCCATGAGCAATAGATACCCAGGAGTACATTTAGAATTGGTGCTTCCCTGGACAACACAAAAAATCTGCCACCCCCCTCGGCCCCCACCAGCGACCGTCCGACACACCATGGCCCATACGACCCCCCCCCCCCCCCGGAGGGAGACTCACTATCACAGCTGCTCCCTTTCCAAAGTCTCAAAGCCATTTCCACAACTCAACTCAGTCCACTCTGCCACCCAGGAGGACCAGCATCCCTTCTTCCGGTTGGCGATGCTCTGCCGCCCAGCACCGGTGCTAAGGAAAACCAGCACGCCTTCTTCCGGGGGTGGCGCTGCCCCCCCCCCCTGCAAAATACCGCCCCAAGGCAAACACCGTGTTTGCCTCGCAGCAAATATGCTCCTGTAGATAACCCCAGCAACAATAGACCCCACATAAACAATAGATCCCCCCAACAATAGACCCCCCCCACCAGCAACAATAGATCTCACAGCAGCAATCAACAATAGACCTATCCCTGAACAGTAGCTCCCCTTCCAGCAACAACTGACCTCCACATCAGCAATAATAGATCCCACAGAAACAATAGATCACACAACAGTAATAGATCCCCCAACCAGCAACAAAAGATCCCCAGCACCCATCAACAATAGACCTATCCCTGAACAGTATCTCCCCTTCCAGCAACAACTTACCTCCCCATCAGCAATAATAGATCCCACAACAATAGATCCTCAAACAACAGACCCCATGCAACAATAGATCCACCCCAGCAAAATAGACCCTTTGATCACCACCATACCCCATACCAGTGTCCTGATCACCGCCATACATTATACCAGCGTCCTGATCACCGCCATACCCCATACCAGCGTCCTGATCACCGCCATACCCCATACCAGCATTCTGATCACCTCCATACTCTAAACCAGTGTCCTGATCACCGCCATACTCTATACCAGTGTCCTGATCACCACCATCCCCATACCCAGCATCCTGATCACCGCCATAACCCCATACCAGCATCCTGATCACCTCCATACCCCATACCAGCATCCTGATCACCGCCATACTCTATACCAGCGTCCTGATTACCTCCATACCCCATACCAGAATCCTGATCACCTCCATACCCCATACCAGCATCCTGATCACCTCCATACCCCATACCAGCATCCTGATCACCTCCATACCCCATACCAGAATCCTGATCACCTCCATACCCCATACCAGCATCCTGATCACCGCCATACCCCATACCAGCATCCTGATCACCACCATACCCCATACCAGAATCCTATCAAGATCCCTGGGATAAAATTTAAACAATAGCAATTCCTCCATACCCCATACCCCATTTTTTTACAAGCATCCACCCCATCACCGCCATACCCCATACCAGCATCCTGATCACCGCCATAACCCCATATACCAGCATCCTGATACACACAGCATACCACCAAACCAGCATCCTGATCACCGCCATACCCATACAGCATCCTGATCACCTCCATACTCTATACCAGCATCCTGATCACCGCCAAATACCCCATACCAGCGTCCTGAAATCACCACCATACCCCATTACCAGCATCCTGATCACCTCCATACCAGCATCCTGATCACCTCCATACCAGCATCCTGATCACCACCATACCCCATACCAGCGTCCTGATCACTGCCATACCCCAAACCAGCGTCCTGATCACCACCATACCCCATACCAGCATCCTGATCACCACCATACCCCATACCAGCGTCCTGATCACTGCCAATACCCCATACCAGCGTCCTGATCACAGCCACACCCTATACCAGCATCCTAAACACCCGCCATACCCCATACCAGCATCCTGATCACCACCATACCGCATACCAGCGTCCTGATCACCGCCATAATTCACATACCAGCGTCCTGATCACCGCCATTATTCCATTCCAGCGTCCTGATCACCGCCATAATCTATACCAGCATCCTGATCACCACCATACCCAGCGTCCTGATCACCGCCTTATTCCATACCAGCGTCCTGATCAAACCGCCATAAACTCCCATACCAGCATTCCTGATCACCTCCATTACCCCATACCAGCATCCTGATCACCCGCCATACTCTATACCAGTGTCCTGATCACCGCCATAACTCTATAACCAGCGTCCTGAATCACCGCCATACCCCATACCTAGCATCCTGATCAACACCATACCCCATACCAGCATCCTAAATCACTACCATTACCCCCATACCAGCATCCTGATCACCTCCATACCCTATTCCAGCATCCTGATCACCGCCATACCCCATACCAGCATCCTGATCACCGCCATAACCCCATAACCAGCATCCTGATCACCACCATACCCCATACCAGCATCCTGATCCCCTCCATACCCCATACCCAGCATCCTGATCCCCCTCCATACCCCATACCAGCATCCAGATACACCTCCATACCCCAATACCAGCAATCCTGATCACCTACCATACGCCCATACCAGCATCCTGATCACAAGCCATACCCCAAACCAGCATCCTGATCACCTGCATAAAAAAACCCCATATACCAGCAATCCCTTGATCACCTCCCATACTCCTATACATCATCCTGATCACCGCCATACCCCAAGCGCCCCATCACCCCATCCCCATACCACTCCCCGATCACCCCATACCCCATACCACGCCTGATCACGCCTACCCCATACCAGCGTCCTGATCACGCCAAAACCCATACCCATCCCTAAAAAAACCGCCATCCCCATACCAGCCCCAAAAACCCCATACCCCCAACCCGCTCCTGATCACCGCCAAAACCATACCGCCCTGATCACCCCAACCCCCTTCCACTCCGCACCGCCCTAAACCATACCAGCACCCCGAACACCACCCCAAAACCAGCGCCGCACCGCCTTTCCCCTCCCGCTCCTGACACCCATAACCATACCACTCCTGATCATCCTAACCCCCAAAAACATTATACCCCCAAACCCCCTACCACCTGTCCCCCCCCAACCCCATACCAGTCCTGTCACCGCCATACCCAAAATTACAA